TAATGTACAGTTGGTTTTTATGGTTTAATCATGATCATGTTAATGCACACCAGTAGCTAATTAAAGAAAACTTTTATTGTTCATCTTAAATAAGTTAGGTAAAGAGTGGGAGAGCTGATGTAACAGCACTGCCCAGAGATACATGTTTCTGCTGCACCAACAGCAAGCAGATACTGCTATTTTTGACAACTTAAATTATTAGTCCCCTCGGACAATAATAAAGCAAAAGTTACTTTCAGAGTTATTACATTGTGAACTCTTCGTTTTCCACAAAGGAATAGTAAATTGATGCCCAAGTTTAGGGCCCAGCACACATAATTAATTAAAAACTTTTCTCAGTAGTGGGCCAGATACCCTTCAATGTAATAAATCTGCAGTGGACTGGTGACAAACCAGTGGATTTTTAAATATGTCTCAAAATCATCAGCGTGTTTATTTCAGTGCTACAGATAGTTTAGAGGCTTAAAAAAATTGAGGAAATTCTGGCTTTTAACTCAGTTTTAGGAATCTAGTTTTCTAGTACTGGGAAAGTTGTACTTTTTCCTTTCCTTCCAATGGAAGTCAGAGTCTTTCATCTCTAGGTCATTGGTTCAAATTCCATTCTGCTCAGTAGTGATTAGAATTAGTTACCATCTGACTTCTGTTCAGTAACCTTTGTGACCTGAACTGATAGCTGCCATCCTGCCACTGCTGGTTATTTATATCTTAAGATCACACCACTTGACATTTGCTGGAGACTAATGTGGCAGTCTCAGCACGTAATATAGGCTGGATGCTAAATTTCTTTACCTTTCTCTACAGGTGGTTTGCCATTTTATGTTAACACCTATGGGAACACTTAATCCACTTTAAAGAGGGAGAGAGTTGATTTTAAGTATAAATCTGTAAATCAGAAGTAAAAAATGCTATATGCATAGAAACTATAGTTTCATGTAGTTAATTGTGTTTAACTTTCTTGATTCAGAGAATGAAAATAGCTTATAAAACTTGAGTTCTTGATTGGAGTTTGCCATTGGAACTCAACCTAAAGGATTTTTTAGTTATACTGTATTTAGGTATTTAGTTTGTAATGCCTCAAAATGTGCTTGATTTCGCATTTGACTACTTAAGTACTTGATTTCATTACTTTTCACATGTTATTTGAGAATTCCTAGTTGGTAACAGATTTGGAGGTCTATTTGAAATTTTCATAATAAGGATAACCAACATTAAACTGCTATTTTGATAACAATTATCTTTATTTTTATCTTACTGAATTTTTAAATATGTTCATTCATTTATTCAGTCAGCACACAATTATTAAGTTTTATTATGTGATAAGCACTAAAGTATGTTCTAGGAATACTAACATGATGTTTCCTCTTACCCAAATCCTACTAGCTGTCTGACCTTGGAACTATTGATCAATCTCTATAAACCTCAATTTTCTCAGCTGTAAAATAGGGATAATAGTACTCCTCCTCAAATAATTATAATGTTAGCTTATATAATGTGCTAACAGTGTCTGGCAAATAATAAATGAACTCAACGGTATTTTATTTTTCTTCAATTGCTCACAATCCCTGAGACAGAATATAGTGTGAAAAGTACTATAATATTAGTTTGTCATAAAAGCATAGAAGTGGGAAAGACTAGCACCACCTGGAAGCGTTGCTGAAGTCTTCACAAAGAAGATAAATTTTTTAACTTACCCTTTTTAGAGTGCCTACTGTGTTTGTTCAATATGTTAATTAATTTTATGCTGCAGCAACCCTATGAGTTAGATATTAATGTCCCAATGTGAGGACAAAGACAGAAGAGATAGAGAGGATTCTTTGAAGTATGATCAGCCCACAAGGTAGAGAATGCAGATCAGGAAAGACACTATGAATAAATATGTCTGGGAAAGACCTTGAGGAGTACAGTATTGAGAATTCTCCATCTACGTTTATTTATATCGTAACAATCATGTAACTCTAGTCTGCTGGGCAATTTTTTCATTTAATGTTGTATCAAAGATAAACATATCCAACATTCATGGATTCTCTTCATTGTGCTAGGCACTGTCCTGCTCCTTAGTGATATATAGAAGTGGAATTGTATACTACATTCCCTCTAACAGTTCTTCACCTGGTAAAAGAGACAAACACGTAACAGCTGCTCATTATTGGGTATTTACTGTAAGGCAGGCACTGTGCTGTTAATTCAGTCATCGTAGTAACTCTGAGGTAGGAGTTATTATCCTCATTTTACAAATGATATTATATAGCCTTAGAGAGATTTGTAATTTGTTCAGAGTCATACAGTTAGAGAGTGTTGGACTTGATCCCACATCTGTGTGACTTCAAAGCCTATATATTGTCTTAATGCTGTCTGATACTGTTACCACGAGACATTTTAGTAAAATATACCATATAATAGAAGTATAAGTGAACTACTAAGATCACCAAGAAGGAAAAGAGTGAAAGAACAGTTCTTGGACAAATGTCATTTATCGTGATGGATAACTAAATGTTCACCAGCTACAGCAAGCTCAGAGGGGCGCTCCAGGAAGGGAAACAGCACAGTATAAACTGCATGGTTTGAAAGAATATGGTGTCTTCAAAGGACAGAAACAAGTCCTTTTTTAATGAGGATTACCTCACTTTCTTGGATTATTTATCAGTTCTTATATATATAAGTTATTGCATATATATTATTTCTTATATATAAATATATATTTTTTACCAATCAAATTAAGGAGTTTTTAAAATAATAAGCAGCTTTGGGAGGCTGAGACAGGAGGATTGCTTGAGGCCAGGAGTTTGGACCAAGTTGGGCTACACTATGAGACCTCATTTCTACAAAAAATGTAAAAATACGCCAGGAATGTTGGTGCATGCCTGTAATCCTAGCTCCTCAGAAACGGGAGGATTGCTTGAGCCACCACTGAGGGGTTGTAGGTTTCAGTGAGCTATGATCACGCCACTGCATTCCAGCCTGGGCAACAGAACAAGATTCTGTCTTTAAAAATAGTAATAATAATAATAAGCAATACCCAGTTACCCAGTACTTTGGGAGACATTTTTTTATTGCTGATAGTAATGTAACTGAGTGCAGCCTTTTTGGATAGGTGTTGGACAATAGTAACTTTTAACTTTTTCAAACCATTTGCCTAATAATTCAATTTTTTTTTTTTTTTTTTTTTGAGATGGAGTCTCGCTCTGTCGCTTAGGCTGGAGTGCTGTGGTGGGATCTCAGCTCACTGCATGCTCCGCCTCCTGGGTTCACACCATTCTTCTGCCTTAGCCTCCCAAGTAGCTGGGATTACAGGCACCCGCCACCACGCCCAGCTAATTTTTTGTATTTTTAGTAGAGATGGAGTTTCACCATGTTAGCCAGGATGGTCTCGATCTCCTGACCTCGTGATCCGCCTGCCTCGGCCTCCCAACGTGCTGGGATTACAGGTGTGAGCCACTGCACCCAGCCTCCACTTTAAAAAAAATTTTTTTTTTTGTTTTTGTCTTTGAAATAGGGTCTTACTCTGTCACCCAAGCTGGAGTGCCATGGCATGATCACAGTTCACTGCAACCTCCACCTCCCAGGCTCAAGCCATCAGCTTCCTAAGTAGCTGGGACCATAGGGGCACACCATCAGGCCTAGCTAATTCTTCATATGTTTTTGTAGCGATAGGGTTTTATCATGTTGCCCAGGCTGGTCTTGAACCCCTGGACTCAAGCAGTCTTCCCACATCAGCCTCCGAAAGTGCTAGGATTACAAGTGTGAATAACTGTATCTGACCTAATAATTTCACTTCTAGGAGCCTGTCTGTCCTGAGAAAATATTACTAGGTGTTTGTCAGCACTAATTGAAAGCTTGAATATACAGTTATATGTGAATGGTAGAACAAATTGTTCCTAACACTAAATGAAGTATTATGTAGCTTTTAAAAATTATATTTATGAAGAGTATATTAGCATGTCAAAATTTGAGTTATCAGTTTGTCCCTATGGTATCATTATAACCACAAAGGGATACAGGTGAAGGGAACCTGTGCATAGGTAGGTAAAAAAGACTGAAAGGAAGAGCCATGAAATATTACTATTGGTTATGTTTGGAGATAAGATGGGGTGAGGTAGTTTTTTTATTCTTATGGATTTTTTTTATGGTTACCTTAATAATTCTGTTGAAAAAGCAAGTAAAATATCTAGGTGCAGAATAGCAAGTTGCAGACTGATGGTCAGGCAGTCTAAGAAAGAGGAACTGATGGTCTTGGAGCCAAGTGATTATAACTGCTGCTGCCACCAAGTTGCTCTTTGTTCTCTACTTAGGGACTCATTGGTGGAAAATTTTGAGAACTAGTAGCCTTTATTGCACAAAGGAAAAATCTACCCTCAAGGGTTTTAATTACTTACTGACTTGATTTTACTTTATCACTTATATTTGTCCTTGTTTTAAGTCCTATTGTAGTAGGAGAAAATAAACATCTTTTGAAATGGCATGCATTTATTTTAGTGTACTTTTCTTTGTCCTTCATAATTTAGGACTACTGATTTTTCCCTTTCATACTGTCTAAAAACCTATAAATCAGTTTTATAAGAAAGGTAAGGAATACAGTAGAAACTACTTCTACATAAAATATAATTTTAACCACCAGTAATCATGATTTTGGAGACAGTTTATTGTATTGCTTGAGAAATCACTATAAAAATATGTATTAAAATAATTCTTTAAAGAGACATTTTAAAAGATATATGCTATTCCGTAGTAATCCAAAGAAAGAAGATCTGACATTCAAAAATGTATTTTAATGATGGAAATGAACATTAGATGCTTTTTCTCAAGTATTTCCTTGGCATTTTAAGGTGATTTTGGAGGTCTGGTGTAGGAAATGGGCACCTATTCTGTTTTTTTGATTACTGTTTTAAGTTATACTAGACTCATTTTTAAAATTTTCTTTTTGACAACATGTTTATATAACATTTTTATATGACAATTGGCATATAACTAGTTTGAAATGTTTTATTACTTTTTTCTTACAGACCTCTAAACAAGAACAGAAAAAAGTGGATACATTTGATGGAGGCATGGCTGAAACCTCATCTCGGTACAGTGGTGCTCAGGATAGTGGAATTGGCAGTGACAGTGTTAAAATCAGAATAGTGCAAATAGAGCAGCACAGTGGTGCCAGCCAGCATCGCATTGCCCGTCCCTCACGCCAGTCATCAATTGTAAAAAATCTAAATTTTATTCCCTTTGACATATTTATTACTGCAAGTAGAATCTCACTAATGACCTATTCCTGTATGGCCTTATCCAAATCGAAATCACAAGAACAGAAGGATAATGAAAAAACAGACAAGAGTTCATTAAATCTCCCAGAAGTTGATTCAGATGTTGCTAAGCCCAACCAGGCATGTATTTCCACAGTGACAGCAGAAGATCTCTTAAGGAGCAGCATTTCTTTTCCTTCAGGGAAAAAAATAGGGGTCCTCTCTCTTGAAAGTATTCATGCATCCACAAGGTCATCTGCTAGACAAGCACTTGGTATAACTATTGTTCGGCAGCCTGGTCGAAGAGGAACTGGTGACTTACAGCTAGAACCTTTTCTGTACTTTATTGTGTCCCAGCCTTCCTTGCTTCTGAGTTGTCACCACAGAAAGCAGCGAGTGGAAGTATCCATTTTTGATGCTGTGCTTAAAGGGGTGGCCTCTGATTACAAATGTACAGGTAAGAACCTTCAAACTTACTGAAGTGCTAATAATTACTATCTAATAAGTTGTACTCCCATAGTTTCCAGATTGATTAAACAGAAACAGCTGACAGACAAAACTTCTTTTCTCTACAGAATATGTAAAGTTCATGTTCCACAGCTGAATCCTGTTTAAATATTTGAAATGTATTGAGGTTTAGCCTTAGTATTCTTACTATGCCTCTGAATATCATTTTTTTTTTTCCGGGAACTGAATGAAACAGGGATTCTCTTGACTATAGAGATGCTTAACGATTTCCAGTGTTTGGAAAGCATAGCTCAGTTTCATATTAATGGCCCATAGGTATACTTTCCATGTTAATGCTTCTATTCAGATTAAAAAAGAAAAGCCTTAGAAGATGAAGTTTGTTTTTGGTATTCTTTTGATGCAATAGCGTCATATTAAATGTAATTGAGAAGGTTTATTAATAAAGATTATTTAAAGATTTTTGTACATCTACAGAAAGTATATTGATGTTGGCTAATTCGCTCTTGCTGCCCAACCCATCCCTTCCTTATTCTAATTATAATAATTATATGAAATTTCCGAAGCTTTTTGCCTGTTGAGACTAGGAAAGTGAGCAGGGTTCAGATGTAAGACATACAAGCTATTAAGTAACAAGGGCCAGTGGAGTCAAGCAAGGTGACAATATACCTTTTCCCTCAGTTAATGTAGATTTGGAGATTTGGCCAAAAAAAAAAACTGGAGAGAGTAACTGGGTCACCTAAGATTCAGTATTCAAAGAGGCCCTCTAGCAAGCTCAGGTATAGTGCAGGCATTTTATTGCTTTCAGCTGGTCCCATCCAATAGGTGGAAGCCGGCAGTGAGGCATTTGGACAATGAATCTAATCTGCAATTCAGGTTTGTTCGTTCTTGCCATTAAGAAGGACTGTTTTGCATGGCAGGATCCCGGAAGGTAGATGGCAGGTGTGGGAATCAGGATTCAGCCTGAGGAAATAGCATCAAAGGAGCTCTAGGCCAGGGTTTAGTGCAAGTCCCCTGCTTTAAGAAAGGGGTAACTAGCCAGTTGCTGAGGAGTAACCCCTGGGCTGCTTGCTGTCCCTCTCTCCTGTGCAGCTCATAATGGGTCAAAGGAGCTGATTGTTAGACTCAAGAACTTTGCAAGACAGTTGTTAAACCACTAGTAGCTTAAATTGGCCATGGTGAAAGTATTTATGCCACAGATGCTTGCAAATTCAATTATATCAGCTCTCCTACTCCAAGAGCCATTTGTTAAACCCTTACCAGCAACAACTGCCTCTCTTTCTCAAACATGTTCTCATTTACTGGATGCCTTTGATATAAAAGATACTTCAGCGGCACTGAAAATGTGGGAGATGCTGGTATAGTGGGACATGTTATGTGATTCAAGAACTCATGCCTGTATACCTGATACCTGCTTGCAAGTCTGCTTGGCATTAGCCAAAATTTAAGTGCAGAATTAGGAGATGAATTCTTAATTCTCAGCCCTTCATTAAGTTCACTCAGCTACAGTCGCTCTATAGGTGGGTGACCTGTGCTAAAAACATTGGGGGAGGCAGAGGAAAGTAGGAGGGGGAAAGGGGCTGAGAGGAACAGCTGTGACCTCTTCCTAAATTTGTAGATATGCAGAGATCACAGAAGCCTCATTTTGCTTACTTCCAGCCCAACCTAAGGATACTCTGTATGTAACCTCAACCTTTGAAACTGTTAAACTGAGGCAAGCCAGGGTCCACAGTAATAGAAAAGAACTGCCAGTGATGGACTTGTTTCCACTTTCCGAAATTGTAAGAGCAGACTGGCTTAAATCTGTTTTATTGATATACTCCCAAATCATGTGTTTATACATTTTCATCTAAGTCTGTATTCAGCAAAGTTATAAGAGCTCATACCAAAGATAGACTTTTGGATTATAATCAATTCCTAGGTTAAAATAATAGAGCACTTCTTGCTTAAAGGGGGGAAAAAACCTTGTATGTAAACTGACATGGAACCCAATCTTGGTACATGAAGCTAGAGTGGTGGTCATGGGCCAGATTTAATATAGGGGTTGGGGGTAAATGTAGGAGGAAGAAGACTCACATACCTTCTAAGGAGCATTTTCTGCATAATATTCTCATGGATGCCTTTCCCTACACAGAATGCATCTACTTGGACATTTATATTATCTCAATAGTATGACTGTTGGTTAGTAATAATCAAAAGTTATCAATATGCATGATAATATTTCTTAAAAGTGAACTTAGTGATCTAGGGAAATTTTTTTCAGAAGACCCAAAAGGAGGCAAGTAATTAAAATACAATGGCTAAAAATAAAATTCAGCTAGCATTTACTGAGTGATCACCCTGTTCCAGGCATTGTACTAACTGCTTTAATGCGTTATCTTATTTCATCCTAATGACAACTCTATGGGAAATGTTCTATTCTTAGAGATTAGGAAACTAAGCCTTAGAGAAGTTAAGTAACTTCCCCAAGGACACAGACCTAGCAGTAAACAGAGCTACAATTCAAAGCTAAGAAGTGTTGGACTCCTGAGTCTAGACTCTCAACCTCTATGGGTCCCCTGAAAAGAAGGATGTGAATTGGAGGTTCTTGCAGTCAGCCTTTATTGTCCCACTTACCATGCAAATGATTCCTCTCTTAAGTTTTAACTGGTGAATTTGTATGTTAACTGGGTCCATGCTGTGATTACACAGTACTCAGGTATGGAAACCCTGGGTTCCAATTCTGTCACTTATATGTATACCTATATCATTACGCACTTATGAAAATGAAAAGAGATAATTCATGAATAATTCTAAAGTACTTAGCATTGAGCCAGCAGGCCTAGGCCCTCATAAATGTGTGCTGGTACTATTTTAGCTGTCAATATCATATAGTGGAAAGAATACTTAACTAGGAGGCAGAAAACCTGGGATTTTAATTCATGGCCCTGCCATAAATTAGTAAAGTGATCTTAGGCAGTTTACTTCTTTGACTTTCTGTTTTCTTATCTGTAAAATGTGATGATTATAATAGATATCAACAAAATCCATTCCAGTTCTGAAGTTTCATCATTCTGTAATTTGGAATTCTGTAATTTGGCTTTGGCTTCAGGGAGTTGATATCTGTAAGGCTCTACAATATCAGGTAGAAATTTATTTTGACTTGTTTTGAAGATGCAGATTTCCTTTGATATTCTAGTGGAGCACTAATTACTTTATGCCGAGTTTTAAATACATAAGTTTTATTAAATGTTAATGAAATTATTTTTCAAAAACCGATCTGGAAATGTGTTTTATATGTGTCCACTTGAATGAATTGTCTAAGTCCCATTACCAATTTGGTTATTCAGAAACCCTTTATGTAGCACTTTCTTTCCTGAAAAAAGCACTGTTCCATAACCAGTGTTTTTTGGAAGCCCTGAGATAGTAACCTTATGAATAAGAAAAAAGAGAAAAATAGAAATGGCTATAATGCTAACATTCATGGGGAGGGAGGCAGAGGGAGCAGTAAGTTGGAGGTGGCTAGCTCCATTTCTGCATTATAAAGTGAAGGAGTCATTGCAATGTCTTTAAATTGGAGGGACTAAAGAGATACTACCATGAAGCTAATGTTCTAAGAAATGTCCAGGAAAAGTTAAAGGCATCATAAGTTAAAAGTGAAAGAAGTAACATGTGATGTGTTTCCACAGTGTTCATACTTTTCCTCTGGATATTAAAATTCTTTTTGGCTGGGCATACTGTCTCACATTTGTAATCTCAGCACTTTGGGAGGCCAAAGTGGGTGGATCACTTGAGCTCAGGAGTCCAAGACTAGCCTAGACAACATAGTGAGACCCCATCTCTACAAAATTTACAAAAACTTAGCCAGTTGCAGTGGCGTGCATCTGTAGTCTGAGCTATCGGGGAGGCTGAGATGGGAGGATCACCTGAGCCTGGGAGGTTGAGGCTGCAATAAGTTGTGATTGCACCAACATACTGCAGCCTGGATGACAGAGTGAGATCCTGTCTCAAACACAAAATAATGTATTCTTTTCTATAAGGTAACTCAAGTGTCAACCAGCCAATAGCCATTTTAGCATATATGTATGATTGTATGATTTGGTTTAGATGTTTATCCCCTCCAAATCTCATCTTGAAATATGACTCTCAGTGTTGGAGATAAGGCCTGCTGGGTGGTATTTGGATTATGGGGGCAGATTCCTCACGAATGGCTTAGTGCCATCCTTTTAGTGATAAGTGAGTTCTTGCTCTGAGTTCATGAAATATATAGTTGTTTAAAGAATGTGGCACCTCCCCGCTACCTTGCTCCCTCTCTCCCCATGTGATATACTGGCTTTCCCCTTTGCCTTCTGCCCTGATCATAGCTTTCTGAGGCCTGACCAGAAGCCAAGCAGATGTTAATGCCATGCTTGTACAGCCTGCAGAACCATAATCCAAATATATCTTTTTTCTTTGTAAATCACCGTCTCAGGTATTCTTTTATAGTAATGCAAAAATAGCCTAATATAATGGGCATCTCAATAATTGCCCCATTGTCACATTTCAAAAATACCTATGAGGTTGTTATAGAGATATTGGTTTTCTGGGTTTTGTTTTGAGAGGACAATAACATTTGATTATTTAAAAAAAAATCCTAGCACAATATGACTTGTCATTGTTTATTGTTTTCTATACACGTCATAAACCATTATTATAGGTGCTCGTGTTCCTTTATATGTAAATCATACGGAGGAAAAAGAAAAAGGATTTTGTTTTACTCTTTAAAAAGATTTAATGGCTGGGCGTGGTGGCTCATACCTGTAATTCCAGCACATTGTGAGGCCGAGGCAGGCAGATCACCTGAGGTCAGGAGTTCGAGACCAGCCTGGCAAACATGGTTAAACCCCGTTTCTACAAAAATATAAAAATTAGTTGGGCATGATGGTGAATGCCTGTAATACCAGCTACTTGGGAGGCTGAGGTGGAAGAATCACTTGAACCTAGGAGGCAGAGGTTGCAGTGAGCCGAGATCAT